TCAACGAGCATTAAACTCATCGTTCTTCTTTGCACAATATACGCAACAGATTTTTTTTTCTCTTAATTTGACATTTCGGCTAATTGGAAAGTTTTATAATTTCGTAAATGCTGACTCCAGTTTGATTGTCAAGGGTGTAAATATACAAAATGAACTAATTTAGCAACTGGATATTAATAACAATGTAATCTAGTAATCGGCGGTGCAGAATCTGCCAGTGAAATAAAAATTTTCTCCCAACGGCAAAATTTTCGCGAAAAATTTCCCCACTATAAAATTTAATTAGATAACGAGCTTTCTCGTTTAAGATATTTATTCAAAAAAAAACCCTATTACTATTCAACACATTGCAATTACATATTAAAAAACAGAATACTATTATTCAATAAGGTTTGCTTCGCATAATCTTGCGACTTGTACTTTTCGTAAATGATTTAAACTAACAAAATTATATTCTGTCAAGTTGTTTTCTAAAACCTTCAATAAATATTGACTGATTGAACTATAAACAATTTTATGAAAATATAATACGGTTGACCAATTCGAAAAGAGCCTTGATCTATTGTTTTACATGCGTAATTTAATAATCATATAATCCTGGGCTGTTTCTTTTCATAACATTTGCACTGATTGTGTGTTGATGAAGATGGGCTATTTCTGTGCGAAATAATGCTTTTATTCGTTTCTCTTTTAAATTTTTCCATTTGTTTGTATTACAATAAACAATCACCTCTAGTGCTTTGAGATTAATATTAACACTAAAAAGGCTGCTGATGCTTAAGTGTTGGGACTAAAAAGTTTATTCTAATCCACAACTGTATTAGTTAGTATTCACTTACATTTATATTAACTATAAATTGCACTCTTATTTTTCTGGAATCAAGTTTCTCTCTATCATGCATTCCTGATAGGGGATGACTGGAATTTCTCAAATGAAATTGAAATCGAGCCTCTTTTTCCAAAAATGAAGTCGAATTCAATCGAATGCGAATTAATTTTTCAACAGTGAATTTGAATTGAGTGAACTCGAGCCGATGAAAAAATGATTCAATTCAGTTAATAATGGCCATAAATTAGTTATCATAGTGGTTGTGTACTGATACGCACACGCAATAGCAACTATATGTAGCAACAGAGAAAAGCGGCAATTAATGAAATTCTATTAGGAAAAGTATAGAAAGAAGAAAAGAGAACACATCTAATGCGTATCATATTATGAATAGGCACAAAGAGACAGGTTGAAGGCGGTAGCAATATGCATGATGAAAGTATACAAAGGTAGACGATACTGATACTACAATAAAGACGCTCATGGCTCTTTTAGAAATTTAATGAGAAGAAAAGAAAATAGACCAGTAGAAAATCTTATCAATATATCCATCAATAAAACAAGATTAATTTCAAAAATTGTGAAATTTTCCCTATGAGGGAAAATATTTATCAAAAAATTTTCTCAGATGCCACTAAATTTTCGAAAATTTCCCCAGATGCTAATAGATTTTCAGTAACTTCCCCCAACGGTTGTTGGTGCACACGGGTAGATTCTGTACGACTGATGATCACTAAGAAATCCTGTCACTGTTCCAAAATCAAACGTGACAAGATCAAGTATAGCTTTGCAAGAAAATAAAGTAAGTATGAAGTTTTTCATAATTTATGAGAAGTAAATGTGATAAAATTACAGAAACGTCTAATAGTTCTAGGAGTAACAATAATAATTGGACAGCAAAAATTAACGTTATCACCAAGATATATAAGTCGAGAGAGATCCGAATCCGATTCCATTCTCATAAATCTATAAATATCATGATTTCATGTAAAGCTTAATAACATCTGTAATGTCAATCAGAAATTACAGCTTTTCATGGAGTAGAAAATCTCAAATTGTTACTAATTTTAAAATCTATGTGTCAAAATTATTATAAAATTCAATTCTTCAAAAATTTAACATATTGATGGAAAATCCTATTGATTTGAGCTAATATAAATGTAATTATCCGTTTTAGCGAAGGTAATGCTAAGATTGACAGTGATCGCCAGAGTACGTCATTAGAATGGAACAAATAGTCGCTATCTTTGTAACAGACGAAAAATGCTAATATCAACGAAATAATATTTTTCTTTTTTTATATTTGATTTCTACTTTTCTGCTATTTTTCATAAGCTATTTTTGTTAAAAAAAACAGAAATTTAATAGAAGTTATTTACAATTTGAAATTTTTCACGATCTCAATTCGTATAATATGCAAATAGTGCACATTGTATCTCGATAAAAAAGCTTACTCGGTGATAATAACTTCTACCACATGAGTATATTATAGCCATTTACTAGATTATGATTGCTAACGCTGGTACTTATTTGTATAGTATACGTGCCTAACAACTGACATTTACATGAAACTTTTTTTTTCATTCATTCTCTTTGTTCCTTTCAGGTATCCTACGTTTACAGTATGTTTTACTATTTTTTCAACTACTGATCTCGACATAGAAAAATACAGTATTCAGTTCATTGCAATGATGTTACATTCCATATAGAGTTTTTTTTTTGTTTGACTGTATTGCTTAATTTAAAGAAGAATAAGACTTGATATATACGATCCTTTTGAACAAGTTAAAATGTCTGTTACTGAATACAGTTTTTTTTCGAATATGAACAAAATTGGATCAGAAGCAGCGATTAGATTTTTCATTGTTGACATTCTTAAGATAAAACGTTCAAGAATATTGAAATATAATGAAATATCGAAGTTGTTATTTATTACAATGTACTGTAATATGATTTTTATTTTATTTATTTTTATTTAGAATCTGTCAGGTAATGCCTCATACTCATCAAAGAAAAAAACTTTTGAAAACAAAACAAGGGGACGTCATTATCTAATATGATTACAAGAGGCTTTTAAAAAATTAAATTAAATATAAATGCAGGCGACCTAGCTGAATTACAACATATTAAGTGACTAGGGAGTCTATTCAAAGACAGAATAAAATAGGTCAATAATGACAATGATTGTAATCATAAATCCCGTCTTTAATATCTTATTGTAATGTCGAATGTCAATCGAATAGATATGCATTGAAAATAGAATTGTGAACAGAATTGGCAGGAGAGTTATTATTCAATTGTTATTTAAAAAATAACTAAACTTCAATCAGGGCAAATCATTTGCATTTTTTGATGTTCTAATTCAAATACAATGTAAAAATAATCGTTTCTGTTCATTCGAACAGATCAATGATTTTATCTGTAAATTTTTGTTAAGATATCCCATGCATTGAAGTACGAGCATGTTATAATTAAAAATCTATTTGCTTATTTTTCAATGAAATTTTAATTAAAACCTTAAAGTTGAAAACAACAGTTACATGACTTACTTATTTATTATATTCTTTTTTAATCCTATTTGTGACAAACTGAATAAATCTTTTCATTATAAAATTATCATTGACTAACGAAGAAAAGAAAACAATTTCATAAAATAATATTCTTGAGTTCTTCATTAAGAGCATTGAATGTCTATTTTAGTACATTTGTACTCCTTTTGATTTAAATAAATGTAATTCAAAATAATACAATGATCATATGCACGTGTTTGTTTTTATTTGAAATACAGCATTCGCAAAAAATCTATTCAGTGTTCTTAAATGAAGTATGAAAAACGTTTTGTACAAAACACAAATCATAGGTCTTTTGTTCCCAATTTTGATTTTTTTAAATAAACAATCCCATGTCATCTTTGCAGATAATCATATTTGACATTTTTCTACTTGGCGCTTTATTTTATTAGAACTCTTTAGATGTTACTTTATTACTATTTCGTGATTTTTGGACTTTGTTCCTTGCTATAATGTCATTGTAACAATATTTTTATCAAACAATTATTGAAACAGAGCATCATCAGCTATTTCATTTATTTGTTCATGAAAAAAGAAAACCTTTGGATATAACAGATGCATATGTTCTCAAATTGAACGAAATAACAACAACTATCATATATTGAAATTGTACATTTAATGCATGTTTAGCAAAAATTGAGACAAACTTGAATGATCCATTGATTAAAATGATTGACGGTCACGATCATAAAACAGACAAAGAAAAGATTTAAGTAGATAAATTTCGTGAAAAGTTATTTTTTCTTGACTTGTTTATGATCTCTATTAGATTGTTAATATATTAGCAAACAATAAAAATTGTATCTTGCTAATCAGAATCGTTCAAAACACTTTTCGATCATTTTCCAATCCGATATTTTTTTCGACATTTGTCTTTTCGACCTTTTCACAGTCAACCTTCTTGATTATCATAGAGACTTGTTCTTTTCACAAGTTTTAACCATAGTTATAGGTACTATCAATTCTTTTTTCGATTGTTCTTATTATTTTGATAGACTATATAAAACTATGCTGATGATTAAAACTTCACTTTTTAACAATGAATCATTGTGAAATAATAGGCAAAGCAATCTTTTTAATGTATTACAAGTTAAGTGTGTAACTAAGCACTTTTGAATCATAATTAGTACTTAGTAATAATAACGTAATTGTTTAGAATGATTTTATTGTTATTTTCTAGCGAATCTTAAGTTATATATTCAGTAAAGATTTGGTCATTATCCATCCAACTATAGGTAACATATGAGTGATAATACAATAGAGGGACCAATATTTATTGAAAGTGATTCTTGTCCTAAGATATTAATTTTTTTTCTAACAAGAAAAGTCTCCAGCTATTCAATTGCTTTTGAGAGTTAATCCCCGTAGTCTCGGTATTCATAGCTCATTTGGATGTGCAAAATGCACATAGTCATGACTCAAAAGCGAGTGAATAGTTAGAGGACCTTCCTCAAAAGACTAAAAACCCAACGTTTCTGATGTAGTGATCATATATCCTTAGAACATTCACAACAAAAAACGATTAGCGCAAACTTATATAAGTGATAGTTGCTTGGAAAAAAATAAAAATGTTATTATGTGATTCATTATCATCATTGTTTTCAAGTGTTTCCTTGAACATGTCTTGCTTGTAAACTTCTATTAATATGTGCATTTGAATTTTGTTCATGTCTAACTGTATTATTTGTTCTACGAGGAATTAATCGACGATAAATTTTTTTGATTCTTTCTATGAATAGTGTTCGAAAATATTTGCTACATAATATATAAACATAAAATGATTTAGCATAATTTAAATAGAAGAATTGTGTTGTTAATTGAGCGAAAAATTTATCCAATGCTTCTTCATAAGCTGTTCTATCTGTACCACTTGCAATTACATTGTATGAATAATAAGACATTCGAGTTAAAATTAATAAAGNTTCGGATTCAAAATTGATCAGAAAACAAGCCGAATATTTGATGGTGAAAATGGCCAGCGAGGACTCACGCGATTGGTGGATTGCCGACCAATCATATTTTGATCTATATCTACGTCCCGTGATGTCCTCTTTCAAATGGTGAAAACCGCAGGTCTCCATCACTTATCCTTCAAAAGTTATATGCATTCTCTCGGAATGCCTTTTTTTCAAAAATGGATAATAGTCGTCAAGGTTAATCGTTTTATTGTCAAACGTTTTCCTTTAAATTCTTCCTAATCAATTAAAAAAAAGTCAGTCAATTTTTATTAATTAAAATGTATGACTGAATTTTAATAGAAAAAAAAGTCTGAGAAATTACAATGAAACAAAATATAAATTTCAAATCAGATTATTATTGATTAAAAATTACACAATTTTAATCGATTTTTAGTGTGACTCATGATGGTTTTTATATATGGATAATATCCTTTTGAAATTACATATGAAATTAATGAGTACGGCATATAAACAAGAAGAAAATTTTTCATAAGGTTAACGATCCGTTTCATAGTCGAGCTTTAATTTATACGTCCTTCGGTCGTCGTGTCCTGGCCTAAAGACAAGACAGGGAAAAAATATTGTGAGTCATTTTCAGGACAGAACAAGACGAAAAAAAAAATCCTTTGACGGTCTCTAACATGGACCGAACCGTAAAATGGTTCAATAAACTGGGCTTGGTTTCAAAAATTTCGAACCCAATGGACTGTACTCAATAATATGTTGCGTATTATCATAAAAACTAAATGATATGCTTTTTTGTTAGAAATATTAGACGCTATATTTTTTTTTTGTCTTAATTCATTAATAAAAACTAAAATTTTCTTCTTACATGGATTCATCGAAATTTGAAGTTGATGGTGCTGCAGGTACTGAAAGTGTTGATGGTGATAATGTTGTTGTTAGTTGAATTTCACGAGGACCACGTTTAGCAACTGTCCTATCAGGATTTTCATTTTTTTTATTATAATCCTTAATCTTATTTTCAATTGATTGAGATATTTGCGGACAAAATGTTAAAAATATAATAGCTATTGACGGTATAACTAACGGCCAAAATTGATTTCGTACGAAAAAAAATAGATGAAAATTGGCATTTCTATAATGTTTAGGCATGAAAATGATTATTGATGGCACACATCTGAAAGAAGGAAAAAAACAGTCACAATATCAGTCATATGAAATATAAATGATAAATTTTTTTATTTGAATAAATCAATGACGACAGCTATTATGACTAACCATATGAGTATAGAACACGTTAACTATGAGAATAAAATATGGATACAAAAACAACCAGTGGTAGACGTTTAAAACGTTTACGCATATGTGACTATGATTACAGCGACACAAATATTCAGCAATTTTTTTCAAGTGAAACTCAATTAAAAATAAAATGCATATTGTCGTCTATTGAAGTTAACGATAAATAAGAAAACACAGTCATAAATTGAAGCATTTATTGAAAATAATTTGATCCTATCTGTATAGTCTATAGATGTGTATCATACATTAATAAAAACCTTGAAAATTAAATTGACAAATATATGTTATATATTGAAAAAGAACAATCTTATACATTAGTTATAAGTTTGACAAACTCATACCATTGATTTCAAATAGAAAAATCAAGCAAATAGATTTATATTGAATTTATTATTATTACTAGATATCTCTGAGTATAATTGTTAATCGAAATGAGTTAAACTACATAAAATTTTAATTAATAAAAAAGAATATTTCAATATTTTAGTATCGTTGCGATTAATAAAGATTATACAGATTAGTGCCATACTATAAGATACGGCTGACGGAAAAAACTTCTTCAAATGTCAAATCGCTTTTTAACCAAGATGATATTCATTTGATGAGTATATTAGTAAGTAAAAGAATATTTTGGAACAATTCAGTTTTCTAGACCTTCGTTCTTGAGATATCGACATGTTACTGGATTTGTTGTAATCCCCTCAGATCACATGAAAAAAACGACATTCAACTTTCATTCTGAGATATTCAAAAATTTTTCTCTTGTGTAAAAGCAAATTTTATTCATATATTTGCATGTTCAGAAAGAAAATACTAGAAAATCTAAAGTTTGCACAAGCAACTAACCTTATTAAGAAATTTATTTGTGCAAAGTTTAAAGTAGAAAGTGAATATTCCATGTTAACACAGCTTTTTATTGAAAAATTCAGTAAAATTTTAAATATCTTGAGAAAGAAGGTTAAAAAAACTAAACTATTCCAGATTTTTCTGTTACTCTGTAGCATTGATTTGATGAACATCGCCACAGTCACAAAGCGAATTGACAGCTGCAGAGGTTCCCGCATCAGTCCTTTTCAGGTATTTTTTTTTCTGGCCTCACCATTAATTCAAATCTTTTTTTTTATCGTTTTTTGATCGATTATTCTTTGAAATGAAAAGCATTAAAATAATACACATAATCATACATATCATAATAACGATAAAATTGACTGTACTCAAATATCATTCGTTTTCATTTCTATTATAAAAATGTATCGAAATTTGTAATATCATTGTAATTAAATTTTTTCATTAAAACTTATTATTTAATTCTATATAAAATTCGTATTTCTTTCATTTACGACATAATCAATCTCACTCATCTATTACAATTCTTCATGAATATCTATTTTACTGCATGATTCTTTTTTTTTTTAAAACAAAAAAAAAACGTATTTAATATATGTTAAAAATTAAATTAATCGTATCCTACTAATATATACATCATACACAACACTTGTTTGCGTTAGTTGCTTTTTCATTATCTTCAATGCGAGAACACGCACACAAGAGACAATTTTTTGTGGCAAGAAAAAGAAACGTTAAGTGTACAATTGAAAGAAGAAAAAAGAAACGAAAGATGGAGCATTCTCCATCATATAATTTAATCGGTCAATGATGTATCGCCCGGAAGTCCTGATGAAGAAAATGGTGCTAGTGCAGGAAATAGTTCTCTAGGTGATGGTGGTGGTGGTATTATTTGATTTTGAGCAATTTCTAGAAATGGAAAAAATGAAGCATTACCAGAATTTTGATCTATAGAAAAATAAATTTTAATATCATTCGTTTATTTTTTTACAAATTCGTTTAAAATTTACCATCATTGACATCAATAAGACTATTGACTGAACGACTTCGTACACATTGAAAATCAACATGACGTGATCTAGCTTCTTCTTTTTCCCAAGACATACGAAGAAATGGTCTTTGAATATAACTATAAATAGCTAAAAGACAAAAAAATTTTTTTTCACGAAAGATGAGAGTGATTGTTTTGTTTTGTTAACCTTCTGGTCTAGCACGAGGACGACATCGAACTTTTTCTTTATGTGTTGGATAACCTTCAATTCCCATGCGAATTTTTTTTAAACCACGATCTTTCAGCACCAATTTAGCTACTTCACGATTTTCAATATATTTAAAAAATCGATACATTGCAGTAGAACGTATAACTAAAAAAGAAAATAAAAGAAATGTTAAATATTACTTTTGCAATGATTCACATATGATGTTAGTAAGTTTTATCGATTTAATTGATGAGTTTATGTAATTGATCGATTTTAGATATTGACTCTTCAGTAGAGCCTATCGGGTTCAAAATTTTCGGCTCGGACTCTATGAAATCATATTTTCATACTCTCGATGAAATTTTCAAATTACAATCGAGTAATTGTCCAAAGATATGACATACTTTTTTCCGACTTTTTTTATTCGGTAACTCACATACCTAATACATTTCTCAGGCGATTAGAGCCTATCGAATTTCGAAGGGGAACCAACGAGACGGGCTCTACTCTTCATGTCATATAGAACAGTCAGTAAATGAATAAAATAGGGCTGAGGTTAAGATACTCGTTTATGTTGCGTTGTAAAAGGGACAAATACAATGATAAACAATATCCATTAAGATAATCTTTTCTACTGTTGTTTTTGAAACGCTTCTATTCGGAATTGAAGTGTCAAATAAGGATAATTCAATATTTTTTTTTTTGTTAAGGTGAATCCCGAATGCACCCTTCAAAAGTGTATTTTTGAAATTCTCTAGGGTGACCTCGACTACCAAGTTATCGACAAAAAAGGACACCGCTTAGCATAGCTTTTATTCATTGTAGTTTTCATATACTCAATGTGAAATTTACTGAAGTGTCATATCGAGATATCATCTTGGAAACGTCCGGAAACAAATCGTTGTGAAATAACTGCGGGAATATTCGGATTTAAAACAATGCTTTTCTTGGACTCACTCTATTTATATTACACAACTACGTAGTTTCTTTCAAGAGAATTTTTTTAATGTGTTTGTATGCAGTTACTATACAGTGATGACACTCCATTATTGAAAATGCCCAAGATGATCATTGCCACGGTATTTCGCTTTAATCTGTCAGCCGTTTTTTTTCTCTAAGAAACGTTGATGTTAAGACACCGATTTTATATCGTTTCTGAACTTTTACACCACGATTCTTTTCGACCCGAATTAATTTTTTCAGTCTAGGTCAACGAAAACGATACTATAATACACTGTTTTATTAATCGTTTTTGACGATCGGAATGATGTTAAATATGAACAATTCCTAATTTATTCTAATGCATTTTACTTTGAGCTTTATCTTCTTCTTGACAAAGTTGTGGTGGATAATCATCATCCCATTCGATGAGATCATCATCACATAAAATCACTATTTGACATTCGCGATCACCACGCTAAAAAGAAGAAAATTTCAATTAATATAACTAAACAGATAATTCAAATTTACTTGAGCAGATTCAACAAGCACAGGGAAAATATCATTTTCAAGAAACATTTCAAATTGTTTTTTTGCACCATCATTAGATAATTCATGTAATAATCCACCTAAAACATTCAAAAATAAACCTTTTGAAAAAAAAGCGAAAACAAAAAAAAAAATCTTACATAAATCTTGACATTGAATAGTTAATTGATCAAATGGTATAAGAAAATAATCACATGCTTCACGTAAATCTTGTATACTAACCGAAGGTGGACAACGTATCGTTCCAATACTATAAAAATCCTAAATAAAAACAAACAAAAAGAAAATATCTTTAAATAAAAACTTATAAGATTTAATTTTTATTACCAATAAACTTCGAAATATAGTTGCTGATATTCCATTAGCAATTTCATATTCTCCACGTTCATTAGGTACGAGTGATGTTTCCCATGATGTACTAAACATTCTTCCAAGCATTGTATTTGGATGTGCACGAAATAATTGTGGATCAATAACAAATCTTGTTTCATCAACAACAAGTGTTATACGATCAGAAATAGTTGTTGTTGTTGTTGTGGTTGATACAATTGTTTGTTCTTGAGTTTTTTTATTTGTTTGAATTTTACTTGGACTTGATCGATTATCATCATTAGTTCTATGACGATTACGATGATATTGATGTATTGGAGCACCAATTACACCTGATGAACGATCATTTGTTGATATTGGTGATGAAGATTTTGATTTATTTTTAATTTTTAAAGGCTTTATTAGATTATTAGGTACTTGTAATTCTGGACTTGTTGAACCTTAAAATAATTTTGAAAAGAAAAAATACAAAATAATCTAGAAAACAAAATGATAATTACCACTAGGAACTTTAAGAATTCCATGTGTTGGTTGTTCATTTGAACGTCCTATATATGTTGATGATAATTTAATTTGATCACTTTCGTTTAATTGAAGTTCTTCATCACTTGTTGATGCTTTTTGCACAAGACATGGTTTCATTTTATTATTTACTCGTTTGGTTCTAGTTCAAAAAGAAAATATAATTTTTAAGATTAATGATTTTTTTTTTTTTTTATCTTAATGTTAATACCCTCGATGCATAGATGATGATGAACTTTCACTATTATTATTAGAATCTGAACAATTTTTTGCACAATCAGAATCATCTGTATCTGTACTAACATCATGAGATGTTGAGCTTTTTTTATTCGAAGTAGCCATTATGCCTAATTTTTAAAATTCAACATACATATATATCAGTATAGATGTTCGAGAAGCTTCATGAATATCAGTTTTTTACCTGAGATAAATTTATAAAATAATTTTAATAGAAAGAAATATACTTATCACATGGATAGTCTATCAAGTATAATTTACTAGTAGGGTTTTGTTTATGCAAGGAGAATATAGTTGAAGCAATGACGAGAATGAAAGAGGGAGATACATAAATAATGACAATGAAAATGGCAATGTATTTTATTGATCATTATTGATGACAAATCAAGTAAATGATGTCGCTACTGATCAATCGAAAGAAAATTTTTATTTTTGAATGTATACGACACTCATGAATAAAAACTAGATCATTATACGAAAAACAAAAAAAAGAATCAATTGATTTGGTTTAAATAATACGAAAGTTAAACGAGAGACTTCACCAAATATGAGAGAAAAGATCTCGAGACCAGAACAAATATGTTTTTTTTTTATTGAATCGGGACCGAGACAAAATTATTTTTGGCTAATACTGCTGCAGTTAGATTTTTTTTTTTTGATCGGAATCAAAACCAGAACTAACATTTTTTCATCGAGAGCAACACCTTTTATGATTGTGTAAAATATCAGATTGTTACGACTCGTGAATTCTAGATAGATATTATCAAGACGGTTCTGTCATGTCTGGTTTTTACACTCGAATAAACTAGAATGATTTAAGAAGGAATGGAAGTGAAATTTATGCTTAAATTAACCAAGGACAGATTGGAATAACGACAACAATTGTTTTTTTTTCTTTTAAGGTTTTGGAAAACAAATGTAGATCAAATTTCAAGAGGTCAATCTGACCGAATTTTTGATATTTATTGAAGAAATTTTTGTATTTTCAAGATCCGATAGATATCTTTTGAAAATCTACGGCTATGAAAGAAAAGTCTGAGTCAATCATAATTTCAATGTTGACATTTAATTTTCAAATCGAAACAATGTCAAAGTTCTATTCAATACTTACGAAGATCTATATTTTCAGCAACAAATAAAAAAATAATATATTATCATTAATTAAATGTTTGATCATGCTACTTACATTTTTCAAAACAGGAAATATTAAATAATTTGATAATATGAGTTTAGTTGCGTATGATGAAAAGCATCAATATAGCATTAACATATCCTTTCTTTGTCTTTTAATCTATAAGCTAAATACAATTAGTTAGAAAAAGGCTTACAATATTGTAGACATAAAGATAAATAGTACTACATAAATATGATTTCGTTTGATATGAGAAAAAAAAACAGAATTAATAAGTAGATCAGATTAATTTATGAAGAGTTTCCGATTTTTATTTATAAATAATAAAAATGTTAGATTTTGCAAACGTTCAATAGTAAATTTCACTCGTATGCTATTTAATAACGAAATCTTAACTCAAAGTTATCTTCTTCTCTAAACATAGACAAGCAATATTAAAGTCAACTAGTTCATTAGCATCAAATAAAACATCTGATAGTCATTATATCTTATCATACTCAATACAAACGAAATAGATAAATAATAAGCATATCTTTCTTATTTACTTTTGCTTTTATCTGTAGATAACAATTATAATTTATATTATTATTGATTACTCTTATTTACTTTGATATAATTTCTAGTCAATGGAATTTATTACAAATATAATTGTACTTGTTTTTATGTGTACTCGAATCATAAAAACATTAATTAAATGATACTAAAGAATATAATTAAATTCAAAACACGATATACAGCGTTTGTTGACCTACTTTTCCACACACGCCCGTATTTTTAGCCTTATACGTCTAATTGTTTAACATATTCTGGGAAGTTGTTGCTAAGCAAAATAATAAGATAACTACGATTGGATGTGTTAAATAAATTATTTTGCCTTGAGGTCGAATATATCTTAACATCATATGCAGACATGATAGGAAGGAAAAAAATGTGTTATAATTAAAAGACGCAACACAAACGATTCTTCTATCTTTTTTCAATTATTGGCATTGATTTACAACAAACTTTTCTTTTCTTTTCTTTCTTTTTTTCAAAATTATGAAAAGTTTTATTATCTACATAAAAAGAAGAATTATTTATGTTTTGAAAATATTAATATTGATTATGATGAATATTATTCATTTTTGTTAAACGATCTGATTTATTTTGTCTTTCAAATCGTTGATTTTTTCCATGATAATTTCTTTGATCATGATAAACTTCTTGCCAAATATCAGCAAGACATACACTTGAATGAAATCGATAAAATATTGATAATGGAGATGTAAATGCTTGAACTAATGACCATGTTCTACTATTATAATATTCAGTTTGTATTGGATTAAGTTTAACTTTATTTGCTGATAATGAATCATGCATCCATATAGCTAAATCATAAACTTTTATTGAAACAACGAAAAATTATTTTCGAAAAAGAACAATATATCCTGATATTAACTATTTCAGAGTACAAAAGTCAACTATCTCAAATATCATATTTACAAGAGATAATGAGTATATCTTGATCTTTGTAAATCTACTATGCATATGCTTGGTAGATTTGTGGATAACTGGAGAAATACTTAGAAATGAAGCGCTTGACCTTTTTTCTAGTTTAATGCAAATACGTTGACTTCAAGTCAAAAGAATATTATGAAAAATAAATAAGAATATATATTGATTTGTTTTTTTTAGAAATAACAAAGTTTGCCTTATGAATGTTACCTATTTTCTGTGACCTATGTCAACTATATATACACATATATTGGATAAATAAAATGGCATATCATTCTATAATTATGTTTTTCTTTTTATATAAATAAGAATAACAGTCGCTTACCGAGATTAATTAATAACAAAGCAGTTATTAATTCTCGCCCTGGTTTTTTTCTTATTTCACTTTTTGTAATTGATCGTCGTCTTAAAGTATCCAAAATAAAACCCGATTGTAAATATGTTTGTAAAATAGATAATAAACCTATAACTATTTCAACAAATCTTGGAAGTTGAATTCTATATGATTCAATAAATATCGATGCAAATAAACCAAAAAATGAATAAGCAAAATCACCAACTGTTGTTACTAAAATTAATATTTGATCAAATACATCAACATGTGCTTGTCGATCATAATAAAGTTTTGTTGTATAAAAGAATGATATACAAACAATTAATAATGAAGCAACAAGTAAAACAAGTTTAGTTATATGTGTTATTAAAATTGTTAACATTGTATTAAGAATATAAGCTGGTATAAGTGTTAATATAGCTAATATAAAAATAATACCACCAAGAAGTAAACCACGAGATGCACGAGAACAATCTACTGTAAATATATGACGATCACCAAAATGTAAAAATGATCGTTGTTCAGTTTTGCCAACATTACGCCACATGATATAAAATACAGTTACACATATAAGACTATATTCAATGAAACATGGATATAAATAAACACTCATACTTGATTCAATTTTTTCAATAATTTCCAGAGTACTTGTTGTAGTATTATGTGAAATATTGGAGAAAGATCCACCAACTAAAATAGCAGCAGATATTTCTTTTTTTGTTTTCTTTGAATTATTTTTCAAGATAAAGATTCTAACTTAGTTAAAATAATTGTTTCAAATTTGAATTCTGACACTATGGGTAAGGAGTTTGATCTGCTAATAATTTCGATAGATTCTAATTTAAGATTGTATTGTCTTCATGTATTCTATGTGACATTGAAAGACTTGTTTTGTTCTCAACCAAACGAATTGTTTATTTAGATTGAAATTTTTCTTAAGAGTTTTTCTTTGAAGTGAAGTTTGTATCTGTAATCGGTCAATTTATATAGTTCAGAGAGTATGTTTTTAGTTTTCGAAAAGATCGAATTTAGTGACATGAAGAAAGATTAGCACGAACCTCTAATATCGGATTTGTCTTTTTATTGAATTTCAGCTAGCATGATGAGATAATCAAGAAGAACAATCATCTACTGTCATCCTCTGATTCAAATAATTGAATTAACATCTGTATTGCTCATCCATCAGAGTATATCATACGAGATAAATGTCATCCTAAGCTCGTAGAATTTTGAAGGAGTGTAGGGTATAAATAAGGACATCTAAACTAGTATTCTTGATATTTCGTCAGCTGATAAGAACGTTTTTTTTTTATTTCAAAACAATAGAATATAGTTAACGAATATTGTTTTTTTTTTCATGGTAATAACGTTTTGTAATGTAACATATTGATGATTAAAAAAGAAAGATTTATTTAAAATATTATTATTTTCCACCTACATATTGTTTTCATTGTTATCTATGCGTGGATACAGAGGCGGAAGAATATATTGCTCGTAAATTAAATGCTGACAACATCATGCTATGTCGTCTTTCTTTTCCAGTTCTATTTTGTTTCTATTTCTTCATAAATACCTGATTTTGAAGCTATTGCTTGAATTGTTTTTGTTGTATTGAAAATCATCGGTATATTTATTGATTTTATACTAACTGAATGTTTACGTAGTTCATCCAATGTTTCGATTACAATAGCTAAGAAAAACATAGAAATCATTGTTAAATTTTTATAAGTTTTCTCTCTTACCTTCAAACCAAGTGCAGAAATTAGCAATAATTATATGAATAAGACCAACTTTTGCCATTAAATGATAACGATCAATAACAATCTATAAAACGAAAAATTTTAAAAGACAACAAGAAACAAAAAAAAAAAGAACAATTTCATTCAACTACTTACATTTCCATATCGAAATAAAAACATAAATTGCACACAATGAAAAAGAAAACGAAATATAACAGTAATTAGTTTGATTAAAAAAACTGATTTTGAATAATTAATTAAAAGTAATTCATTTTGTCTTGAACCAGTTCGTATTACTTCAATTGTTTTTGCTAATTGAATAATATTCAAAATAAGACTACCCATACAAAGTACTAAAGATCGATAGAAATATTGAAATTAAGTTTTTTTACAAAAAATTTCAACACTTACATCCAGCTCCAATTCTCATAAATAAACCACTAGTATTATGCATATCAGGAAAATATGATATTCTATGTGGATAACGTTCAACTATATCCATATATTCTTCTTGATCATGAACTGATGATGTTAATTTCATCCATTGTTGACGAAATTTTATTATATCAACTGTACACCATATCATCCAAACAATTGAAACAAGATAAATATAGGTATAAACAACCTGAAAATCAAAATAATAAACAAAACAAAAAAAAAAAAAGAATTATTTATTGAAGAACCATATACCTGCATTGTTATTCGAAGATTTACTTGATCTTCTCGTATAGCTAAGACAAGTACCATGCATAAAATAAAAATTGTAATTAATATACCTATTTCCAATAAAAAATTTGATAATTGAAGTGTTCGTTTTGGTTGATATGTCGATTCTTGTTGAACATATGGCAATGCAAAAACTGGTGGTGGCGGTGGTGGTGGTTGTCCAGAAGGAGAAGACAAATATATTGACTGTCGTTGAATATCATTTACTTCATAATCATCAATAGTTGATGTTGGATATTGAATACTATCATGATTATCAATTATTTGTTTTCGTGTATCTATGGTTTCGATGATTCCTAATTCGATATCATCAAAATTCTTATGGCTTGATTCTGATTGATTATTATTTATTGGACTTTGAAGTTCTTTATAGATAATAGTTGGTAAAGTATAAATTGAACTGGATCTTGGTTCCATATTTTTCTTATTTATAGAAGAATTTGATAAATTTGAAACTCTGTATTGTTTTTGATTAGATTGAACATGAGTTGATGCTGTTGATAGTTTTGGTATAATTAATGTATCATTTGATGATTTCTTTTCTTGTCCAATTTCATTTGGACTTAAACCACATTTACTCATCCTTGATTTACCTGTTAAACTTACTGATGATAATGAATATGCACTATGTTTTAATTGGGCTGATACAGATGAAGAATCATTTACTGTTCCAAGTATATTAAATCTTCGAATCATTTGATGAACTGATGAACATGATGAATAAATGCTATTGTGACTCGATATTCGTTCAGTCATTTTATTTTAATAGAGATTGTATTTAATACAAACGTTGACAATGAATAAAATGAAAGAGAAAAGGTACTAGAAAAGGTAAGAAAAGAACAAAAAAAAAATGCTTATCAGCTACCGATACTATTGATGGTCACGATAATATCTTTCTTTTTTTTAATGCTGCGGGTAGAAGATATACTTGTACTTTTGCTCAGTAATCTTTTGCTTGTTTTATTTTTATTTATTTATTATGACAAAGTATGAAAAAAGAAAGACAAAAGAAAATTAAAATGTTAACATAAGTGAATCAATATTCTTAATTTTTATCATATGTAGATTCATGTTTTGAATCTTTTTAATGAAAAGATGAAATTTTTACAATGACAAACAGACGATATCGTTCAATAATAGTTTATATGAATATTGTCGTGATTCAACAATCAATTAAAATATGCTTAGAAGATCGAATTCAACGTTTTCTAAACATCATGAAAGATATGTTTAATGACGATATTTCAAAATTCACTTTAGATTGTGCAGGTATATTACAAATTACATGAAATTTTCAGAATATGTTGAAACTGTAGTGGAGATGCTATGATAAAATTTTCAATCGTATAGATTGTTGTTTTCGAAAGAAGATATTCAACAAACCAGGGTGAAAAATGAGAAGCTCTTGTTTTTTTAAATTCTTTCTTTTCAAGTGGAGAAAAGTTTAAAATATCGAAAAATTTTTGAAAAAGTAACTTTCTAGTTATAAAAGTACTCTTTTATATAATAATAACAAAGTTTCATTGAAAAAAGAACTTTGTCATGTCCTATACCTGGACATACTTTTGCAAACAAAGAAGAAATTAAATATATACAGTGAAGACCGACAGAATTGTGAAAGATCAAATCATAGAGTATTTTTCTCATGCACATATTTTAATTTCGATTTTTATGATGAAAAGTAGTCACATATATGTTAGAAATAAAAAAATCAACTTAAGTAAGGATAGAATCGAATGATTAGAATAAAAATAATTTTATTTCGTAATATTGAATTCAAAATGAGCAGACAATAATTGTCCATGTTTTTTTATTTTTCATTCATAAGTATATGCCATACTACTTCGATCTTTAAAACCAATTTGTTCATTAGATAAACGTTCTGTCGTTATATGTCTATAAGCCCAAGCAGCTGTATCAAGAGCAATATCGATTAATTGTCTTGCTTTTTTATTTGTTATTCTTAATTCTGGTTCATGTTGCATTGATGACATTAAATTTGATAATTCATACCATGCCATTAATAATGGACCAGGTATTGTTTGTCGCATATGTTCTGATCTTGTATGCATTAAACTTCTTATATAAGCAATAAGTGATTCTAATGTTGGTGTATGAATATTTGTTTGACCTATTTGATGAACAACACGTGAGAGTAAATCAGTTATAATAGCAGCTATTTCTTTTCCAAATCGTGTAGCACTATCAGTATCAGATTGATCTAATGCTAATAATACAGCACGCATAGTTTTTAAATTTTCTAATATATTTGTAATTTCATAAATGTCGTTGTGTTTTTGTTCTTTATTTAATGATGATGATGATTGGGCCATAGTTGTAAGAGATTCTCGTAATGTAAGAAATTTATTCATACACAATTGTTGCTGTGCTTCTTCAAGATATACAGCTGGATCTATACCCCATGGATAGGTACGATTACGGACATCATGTTGTTCTAATTCTTGTGAATAAATATTTTCATTGACAGTTGACAAATGGCTCTCATCTGTAGAAAAATATTATTAACATAAGCAAATTAGAAGAAAAACTCACTATTAGTAAAAGGCATCTTATTTTGAAAATAAATAGAAAAATGTTGAACTGTTGTTATAGGTGATAATGAAGAAAAATATGAATAAAATGACATATAGTTTTTTTGTCCTTTGAGTTCATATATTAGTTTTTTTTTTTTAATATTTAAAAGTTTCATTTCGTTAGTAATTAGACAAAGACTTTGCTAAATCAAATATGATAGTTTGTTAATAGGTTAAGAAATTCTTTTGTATAAATGTCACTATTGAAATATTAGCAAAATATTAGACCGTGTTTTTCTGTCAAATTTGTCATTAAGAAATATCTTCTATGAATAGAATTCTGCAATAAAGATTAATATTCCAACACAGTCGCGTATATGCTAATATATACAAAATATCGTACTAGTATGATGTTTTGAATCTTATATATATATATACAATAAACTATTTTATTTAAATATTTAACTACGAGGAAGTAAATATGACTATGTTTGAGATAACAAATGAAAATTTTTAATTTTTAATATATTTACTAAGGATCTCAAATACTAAACTATAATAGTCTAATTAAAAACAGCAAGTCTTTTTTTGACTTGTTATGCATTTAGATAGAATTTTTTCAGTTCGTTTGACATTAATATACTTAGATCATCTTATTTTTCACACTAGTTTGATATAATTGATCTTTGCAAAGAAAGTATTTTTATTTTTAAAGAATCTATTAAGAATAATATTACGCATATAGTGGAATAGTTCATTTCAACATTATCCATATCGAAAAATTCTACGAAATCTACATTATTTTTACTATAAGATTCTTGCAAAGTCTGATGATCGGAATCTTGTAACATCTTATACGATCGTATGAGATCATAATTTTAGATCTTTCTTATACTTTTAGTTTTATGCATTTAAATACTTAAGCGATTAAATAGTTCTAATTTAGACTCAAGTTTTTTAGCATTGAAAATATATCTATGTAGTAATATTGATCTACTAGCAAATCATTTCGCAGATAACAATCAAAAGCAATAAAAATAAATTTTTTGTTATGTTATTTAAGTACAAATTTCTGTTTTCATTTAGTTTTTTGTTGCAACTTTTGTGAAACACGATTTAAAAGAAGTATTGAAGTATAGAAGTAAAAATTTGAATCTCTCCTTCTACACAGATCGTGGCAGATGCTAGTCAAAGGCCATCACAGATCGTTACGGATGCTATTGATATACTATCAAAGACTGTATATCAATAATGTATTATTATAATATGTGAACTACTTTTTTATTGAAGTTTTGGAGAATTAAATAAAAGAATAGTGAAGAAATGTTACCAAAAATAGATAGAATAAATTAATTTCTCTATGATTAGCAACTGTAGCTACATCATGTTCCACATTTAATCCTACAGAGATTGTGCTAACAGCTTTAATAAATAAATAAATATACATATGCAAGTAAAGATAAAAGATTTTCTGAAGAAAACAAGCTGATAGAAGCCGAAAATAGAATAAAATCAGATATGCAATATTGTGAAAAACCCTGGAAAATCATATATGAATAGTATTAGTTCATACAAGAATCGCACAAGATATAATAATATATTTGTTTGACCTGAGTTGATTCAAATTCTATATAAAAATATGTTTTTGATATAGAGATACAATGTCGATATACATGAAATTCATGAATACAATGAAAAAGATACTACATATATTTCAGGTGTTCGATCTAATTGCTTAATTTCATCAATCACGTGACTCCTAGTCACTATATGGAGTTCAGTAACCAAGATGATGAGTTTCTTTATCGAAGACTATTTGAAAAACAGCTTCAAGCAATGTCTTCAAATAAATTTATTTCATGTGATTAAACATGACTACTAACTCAAATATTTGTTGAAAAATGATTGTTTAAATTAGTTTTCATTGTAATAAATTCAAAACTGATAAATGAATACTTGAAATATATGCATTTAAAATCGATCAACAAGCAAATTCTAATCAATTTTAATTGCAATATTTCATGAAATAATCATTGACTGTAAATATATTATGCTTCGCGAGTAGACAAAGAGCTTGTCTGCATCTACCAGTTTTCTTTCAGGTTAGTTTACATAAAAATTATTATCATTGATTAATGTACATTCTATCTTTGCCATATCTTACAAAAGACACTATCAATCAACTCCATGCTAGAATTTCAGCTATCTACTTATTACTGTTATGGAGATACAAGTAAAGTAAAATTGACAATAAATTGATGAATTAATTCTAGAAATAATTGTTGACTACAAAGAGTTACAGTGTTAAAAATTCAGTGTGAAATTCGCTAAAACTCTATATATAATTTGGTTTGAAACTTGTTTTCAAATACGCCACAAAAATTATGAAAAATTAAAACATCCGAACAAATGTCGAAAAACCAGATACGTATGTGAAAGTAGAACAACGAAGAGTTGATATAAAGTGTGTTGTGAAAGAGTCGATTTTACTAACCATTCGTTTCCATAAATGAATTATAATTAACAAGGTAACTTTACCTAAATCTTGAAACATTTTTGTTGCTCCATCGTCACATTTATACTTATTTTTGACATCTGTTTGAATATTTTTACGTTTCATCGTTTTTGTGGAATATTTAAAACGAGTTTAAAGCCAAATTGTATATTAACTTGTAGAGAATTTCACACTGAATCTTTTGATTAAAATATTTATATTGAGTAAGTCGACAAACGAAAAGAAAATTTGAAAATACCAACATTATAATCCTTTCTGGTCAACGATTATTTTCAAAATTAATTCCTAAATTTATTGTAAATTTTATTTTACTTATATTTTCATAACACCAATAAATAGACAGCTAAAATTCTAGTATAGAGTAGATCTAGACATTTAGTATGTATACTGTGAATATCAGCCTCTTCTACTGTTGAAACATATCAGAAAAGANATTTATTTTACTTTATAAAGTTTTTTAAATGGTTCATACAGATAAACAAGAGCAATAATAAGAGCAAATATTTCTTCAGTAAATCGAGTCACATGACGAATCATAAAGCTACCTTCAAAAGCCACAAGGATAATAATAAAAAAAGTTGTCCAAAGACTAACACAGCATCGTACTGTCCAAAAATCTGCATTTAATGATTGACATAACTAAACAAGAGATATTGAGATACAATTTTGAATTAAAGAATCATGCGTATCTATTCGTGCTTAATAAGGAATGACCTCGGCTGGTAAGTTGCATTCGTGATGAGATACCGTTCACTAGGAAAGGTCTATTAAAACTAGTAATAGTCTACAAGAATTCTTTACTACATGCTGTTCTTCTAGAAGTATGACCGCTTTAATGGATTGTTTACCTTTGGTATAGTATTTCTAAAAATACTAAACAAATGAATTCTGGCCTGCAACTTTGCCTTTCTACAACTCTTGAGACCATATGCATATCATAAAAGTATCAGACAACAAAAGCGATTCCTGCTGGAGATATTAAATCCTAAAGGCAAATAGATTGTCTGTTCTTTCTGATGGAAAATTATGGTTCTTTTGGGATTTTGACAGCTCAAGAGGGAATTGCTATGCTTGGCTACTATTTTTAGAATATTCTAATGATCTCAAGAGTTCTTTGTGAATAAAGTTTCAGACCAGAATTTGTTTGGTCGATTTTTTTAGAGGTACTGTACCAAGAGTAAAAAATTCAGTGAAACGGTCATAACTCTGGAAGGACTGTGTATCAGGAGAAATTCTTCTAGAATTTTTCTGGTCTCAACTGACTCCGCGTAATGAGCAGTGTTTCATTTCAAACGCGAGATGCCACCTGAATTGGTTCCTTATATCTTGAAATGGATGCGAACAGTTTCATTTTTTCTGATTGAAACTCATGTTTCGAGAAAAATGGTAAATAATTTTATACATGGATTTTTTCATTGAAATTCAGAAACACAATATTGGTAATATATTTAAATGGAATTGTTAACAGCACGTAACGGATAATGCCAGCTGACCCAATTTGTCGTGCTTAAATTATCTAAGAATCTTTATCTAAGTCTGATGCAACTAAAGGCTTTAAAAAGAAAACATAAAAATTTGTCAAACAATACAGCAGTGAACTCGAAGTTCATTCCGAAACTTTGTTACGATTTGGTCTTTTTTCGAAAAGTTATGCATATTCTGAGCCAGGCAATTTCGCTGCGTCTTCTCATGATAAAAAACTCAACTTCTTTTTTTTTCGAAAACAGATTTCCTTAGGGCGGTGGGAAGGGCTAAAAGCTTTTCTCTGCCGTCAAAACAACTGCCTTTCTAAAAAAAAGGATCACTTGTTGAGATAAACTCATAGACAAGACCTCTAAGGAATCTAGTTTGAAAATTCACAGTAATGACTTCCAAATTTAAAAGGTTTCTTGAGAAATTGTGATGAGTTTCTAGAACTCTCCAGCCAAAAAATCAAAAACATATCCATAAGAAAATAATTAGCGCTATTGCAGTTACGGTACCTTATGATAGGCTTAGGAAGCTATTCGATAAGACTATATACGAGTTTTTGATTAATACGTAATATAACCATATTTGGTGCCATGTCACAAAATTCTTTAGGTAAATTTTCAAAGATATTTGCACGTTTTTCTCAATATTGGTTATTGCATCCGAACGAATTTTTTTGCGATAGTGTTCGTTCTGTTGAAGTAAATTTATTTATTTTTATTCGATTGACAGATGCATTCTCTTTTGAATGCGTGGGAGAGATTTTCTGTTCGATTTTCAATATCAAAGTATTTTTCTAGAAAACATAGTCTAAGACTTTGAGGGTTGCAAAAATGAAATAAAACAATAATTAAAATGCTCTTTCCCTTTCCCAAAACGGTAAGAAGTCCCTTTTGAAATGAGAATAGCCTAAACGCTGTAGATTGAAGTGTATTGAAAAAATATTTGTACCCATAAAACATCTATTTGGTACTATAGCTTCTAGAAAACTCTTGAATAGTAAGGTATTGAGTCGTGAAAATTTCTTTTAATAATGTACTTTCATTAGTCGAACATCTAGAGAAAGTTTCATGAAAATCTCATGCATTGTATTGAAAATCGATTTTGAAGAGGGAGAAAAGCCTTAGAGAGAACAGAAGATAAGTAGAAATGAAAGGCTAAGATAAAAATCCCTGTGAAACTGAAGAATGCGTCCGTGATGAAAAAAAGCTGTTAGTGTAATCTCTGTGGGATTAAAATGTGGAGCACGATCTCACTGTTGTTGTTAATCTTAGAGAGATTGCTTTGTTCTATCTATATTTAGACCCATTACTTCACCATCCTTTTAATCCTCTAGAAATTCAATTAGACATTAGTTCATATTTATCAACGAGACCTTATTGATATACGGTTTATGATGAGCCGTTTCTAACATGTTTGTCACGTCTGTAATGACTCGTTGCTAAGATGATTGTCACGTCTATGAGCGGAAATGTTAATTGCTAAATATTACAGTGAACGACAAAAGAGGATTGAGGGCAAATATTTTATTTTCTATTTCTCTTTCGCAGAGCATAAGAGACACTTTTAGGTATCTAGAATACATGAGAATTATTTATTTGTCAGATCATTGAATTCCATACTAAGTAATCAACCGTGTTTAATAATCGTTCAAAAACAAAAATACATCTGAAAGGTCAAATGGCTACATCGTCGTATAGATAGAAACTATCAAAGAAAATGGAATAAAGCGAATATTCGTTTGTATTTGTTCAATTTTAGTCAGTTATACTCGCTGCCTCATAACAAAAATTTACATAATACCTACATCATAAACCACTTCTTCAAAAACAAGAAATGGTCCTGTTGGTCCGAGAATTAATAATGGTTGTCCACTGAAAAGTCCAAATAGAAAACCATTGATCGATGAAGCAATTAACATTTCATTCACACCTAATCGATTACAAGTTTTGTCAGCTAATCGAAACAAAAAAAAAATCTTAATTTGTTCTTTTTAATATTATTGAATAAAATATTCATTTACCTATAATACCACCAAAAGTAAGTGCTGGTGCAAGACAAGCAATAAACATAAATATGAGGCTAATAAGACAATGAAGGGAACAGGCATCCAAAAAATCTGATTTAAAATAAGTATAACGACGATGCATTTCACGATAAACACCACCAAAGACAAAACCACTTCTTAAAAATGGATCTTCATCTTGTTTATCATGTGATAAAGTAGACATTTTAGCTAAATATTTCATTTATATTTTTCATAATTAAATATAACAAATTGAATTACCTAATAAAATTCTAGTAGCTAAAAGCAAACAAAACAAAACTTAATTTAAAATGTTTTTCTTTTTTTAAATATCAAATTTACATTGAGATGATGCTTGTTGTTGCTGACTATCATTTGATCGAGTTCTATTTTGACTTTTTGATCCTATTGAACGTTTGTTTGCATTATTTTTTTTCATTTTAGCTGTTTCAATTATTGGTAATAAAAGTTCTTTATCATAATCACCAGGAGGTAAAACAATTGAATCCGAAAAAAAATCATTTATAGCGCATAGTAAATCCCGACGATCCATTGCTTGATAGGCGATGTCACGAAAATCCTACAAAAACAAACAATTAAATTTCAACAAAATCTTTACTGAAAATAATTTTTACTTACAGGAGTACTAAAAAGAGTACTAAGAGAACGACCAATTTCAAAATATTCTTCCATGGCTGGACCAATAAGTAAAAAGATAAATTTAACCGGTAATGAAACTTCACTCATATTATCTTAAGTGTAAAGCAAAAACAAACAAAAATAGATATAAAAATCGAACTAATCTTACCTATTGATAGACCTCGTGAAAGACGAACAAATGCCATAATAGGCCTTGTTAAATTATGCATACTACCAATAAGTACTTCAGCACATTCAGCATCATTTGGTATACGTCGCATTACATCAGACTAAAAAGTAGATAATTATCATAAAAGTTCAAATTTGTTGAGTAGTCAGATAAAATTAGAACTGATATATCGGAAAAGAGTTATTTCTTTAATTAATATGCAATATATAATTTTATTTATATATAAGTGTTTATAACTATTTTTAGATCTATTTACAGGAAATAGACATTGGCACGTCGTCTTTGATTAATGAAATTTTTTTTTCCAAGACGAAAGATTTTCTACTGAGTCGTGCATTTGGAAATCAATGAATTTCAAAAAACAGAGTGAATTCGGATATGAACTCATATTCTTCAGTTACTGCCGTCGTTTCATTGCTTTAGGATGTTCATAAAGTTAATCATATGTTGACTATGTTTAAGATTATCATGATTTGATAGACGAATCGACCAAATATGCCGCGATTAACATATATTGTCTTTTACAAGAAAATAACTCTAAATTTATATGTATATAAATTTTAGAGTTAATTATAAAACATTCAAAATTCAATTAAATGCATTTTAAATTCAAATATGATTTATATATATAAATATCAATTATTAATGCCTACGCACCGAAAGTACCTAGAAGTTCATTATTTAGAAGACAATATCTAAATTTTGAATTATAATAATACTAAGTTATTATACAAGAAACTTATCTTTTATATATTTATGAAGTAATCTTATTAATCAATTCTCGCTTGCCATCTTTACTTTTTTATTTTTCTATGATTTACTTATTCTATTTGTATTTTATAAAGATTTTTTCTTCCACATTTTTCAATATTAAATCAAATGTATCTAAACACTAATTTTCTGCATGTAAGAATTTACATGTTAAGAAAGTTAACCTTATGAGCAATATATAAATATAATATGCAATTGATTCTTGTTATTTTAACTAATATGAAATAAAAACTACCTTAAATCTCATACATATAGGAATTATTTGAATAAATAATATCTTATTTATTATGATGAAGAATTGATTTTTGTTTTCTTAACGAAAACATGAATTCTCATAAGGGAAAATGAGTTTTTTGATGGATTGTCTAATGTTTTCATTGATTACTTTATATGGAATTGAGTCTCGTGATTTTTTTGTTTGTACTTGTGATAACCGATGAGTGAAAAATGTTGGTCGTAATTGATTAACACTTTCTTTACTGTCAGTAATATTATTATTTTGTTCAGATGATGTACGTTTCGGACATAAATCAGTCACTACAGATTCATTAATATCATCATACTAAAACAGACAAAATACAAATATAATATATAATTTGGTTTGTTGTAATGTAAATAAACAAACTTTAACAACAAGATTTTTTAAATGTTTATTTAATTCTCCATTAGCTTTTATTTCTAATAAACTTCTTCGTCTTGTATCATCATAATTAATTTGATCACTTTTTCGAAAAGCTAAACTTGATCGTCGTATATTTGTTTGAGGAAAATCAAAAATAGAGGAACGACGTCGAAATGAAGAACGAGGTTCTGGATGCCTGCAGAAATTAATTTCAACATAAAGAAAAAAATTAATTTATTTATCAAAACAAATACCTATGATCACTTGTTAAAATTCGTAGTAATTCATCTTTAAGATCTTTATTCATTTGTCCCATAGCAATAGCATCATTAATAATACCATCATAAATTCCTTCTAATGTGTCTTCATCAAGATCAAGTAAAACAATACCTAAAAGAAAAATAATTATCATTCAATAAAAAAAGAACTTGTAATTTTTTAATCGACAAACCATATTGTAAACCACGACGTAATTCAAGTAAACTATGAAAATTTAAGCAACCAATTCTTGGTGCTAAAAAATAAACAACAAACTATAAAACAAAAAATGAACACTATAAAAATGCAAACCTTGCCAACGTTGCATTTCATCGTCAAAATCTTCTTCATATCGGATCCATCTATTCAGAAAAAAAACAAGATTTTTTTTTCTTAAGATATTCTTTTCATTGTTTTACCGTGCACATTCATGCCAATAATATTCATGATCTTCGTCTAATCTTAATTCTTGTAATTCAATAAATAATTCATTAGGTGTATGATCAATAGACTTGAAAAAAAAAGAAAACAGATGATTAGTTTATTATTTATTGGTAATTATGAAAAAAAAATATGCATACTAATCGTCCTTTATGTGCACGTTTATAACTTGATCGATTAATTCCACGTCGTTTTCCACTACTCTGTAAAATTGAAGTTGGTGTTGGAGGAATACCGGGCGGTGATAAATTAGCTGGATTGGTTCTTGTTGATGAATTTTTATCGGATGATACTGGAGATTCAGGACATGAAGATGAACTCATATAATCTTTAACAATAAAAAATAAATGTTTCATATTTAATACTAAATTATTTTCTTATACTTTTTAAACTTATGTTATCCATGTTGATAGATGTAATCGGTGGATAGGAAGCTTTTGTTTTTTCAACTTTAGATAGATGATATCCGATATGTTTTGATGATGTTTTATCAATTTCGTCATTTGTGACAACAATACGTGGAACAGTAGTTGTGTTGTTTTGTGCACCAATATTGTGATTGCTACAATACAATCAATAATAAATATGACGAAGATGATGATATTGATGGCATGCAAACATCGTTTAGTTTTAGTGTGTCAGTATGTGTTTGTGCATTAGAAAAAGCAGTTTGTAAGGAAGTGTCTTTCATTCTTCTTCTTTTTTTCTCGTTTTTGTCGTCTAATTCGATCATATCCGTTCTAAAACCAACAGGGTGCGCGGATGAATCGGAAACTAGGAATGACACGTCGTTGTCGTGTATTAAAGCAAAACATGGATAGATAAGAGGAAGAAAAATGCGAAAAGAGCATAGGTAGTTGGCATCAATTAGATTAATTTATTAAGGCTAGATGTCGAACTTATTTCTTGAAATAAGTGAAATTGTCCGAACTGTATCTTTTTCTTTTTCATTTAGTTAAGTCTTCTTTCTTTAGCAGGAGGACAATAAGGCAATTTAGAATTATCAGCAAGAATAGTTCTTTTCTTTCTTTCGATCTATTGAACAACATAATACCGAATAATGATGTTAGTCAAGTATAAAACGATAAACATATTGATGATGATAGGGTAAAATGACGTCTGTTTCTGTCGTTTCCTTCTTTAAGCTATGTCTTCATTTGCGTGTGCCTACGGGTTGTCATGATTTAGCATGCAAATTAGAACAAAATTTATTACATCGATCAGTTCAGCTGTTCGGATTAAAGCAAAAGCTATCTAGTCGCTCTTTCAACTCAAGGATAAAGCTAAGAATACCAAGAAAGAAAAAAAGATATTCATGCATTAACAAATACAAGTACTTGTTCTATTCTTCTAGATAAGATATTTTTGACACATAACGAGTGGGTGGACGAACTTCAAAATCGATAAAGATTTATTAGGCTATACAACAAACAAATAAGATAATATTATTTTATATCTTTTAAGGAACATTTTTTTCTTTTTTTTTTATTAATAATGAAATAAGGCGTGAGAAGTTTCTGCATGTGCGTGTTTGTATTATATTTTTATTTCTTCAAGATTATAAAAAGAAATAATAGGGTTGATGATGAAAGAAAGCATGAAGCAAAGAACAATAAATCTAAATGATATGAAATAATTTCCGCGCACTAGACGAATATGGTTATTAGTCTTACATTTTCACCATTTGATTATTTCTTTATTATATAAAAAAACGAGAACAAACCAAATATGAAACATTTGTATTCTAAAATATTTATGTCGATATAAAATTTCCTTGTCGCTTCAAAACCATACTCATTATTAAGTATCATTTAAAAGTAAAAACGTTTATTCATGAAAAAAAAAAAACCTAATTAAAACTTGTAAAGATAAAGAGAAAAATTCATTTACATGAGCTTGTCATTTACATGTAGACTGACAATGACAATGCCATATTTTCATAATTTCTGTCAATGTAATTTTTAATACGAAAAACTCAATGAATCGAGTGTTTCTTTTTTTATGTTATATATAAAAATTTTCAAGTAAAAAATAAAAAATGAAAGAAACAATTTGCATACTTTAATAGAAATAGATAAATCCACTTACTCATATGAATTATCTTCATTATTTATTTGTATTGTTGTAGCTTTTGTTGATGTTACATCAATTTCTTGATATACATCATCTACGAGTTGTTCTTTTACATGTTTAACATGTAGTTTCTGTTGCAAAAGAAATGGACGGTCTAAAATTCAATATATTAAATTGATTGATTAGAACAAAAAACAAGATGAAAAAGAGAATAAAAACTAATCAAGACCGATTGTAATAACATACTAGTTTTCCAACAACTCATCAGTCATCAATGACGAACAAAAGTACATAATAGTATAATTGTCGTTATTCAAATACTAGTACGAATACTAGTGGATATTATCGATGCCATCGTCAAAATATTTTTCAAGAGTATTTAAGTAGTTTTATCAATGTGTAATAGATCTTGCTTGTAGCTCGATGATATATCATAAGTTGTGTTTTTTTTCTGTTTTCTTCTACTGTTTTTCTTTCGCTTCTCTTTTTTTGTTTATAAGAATTTCTACAAATGATGTTCTTCGTATCTATCTCTTGACTAATGATGATCCATCGTTCTTCATGTAGGTGAAGAACTTGATGATCAGTTCTACTTGTCTGATATTTGTCAGACTTGTCTATCATTTGATGTATAACATACTATTTCTGACTTTTTACCCATGTATATAAAGAATTCTCTTTCTTTTCTTTAGTTTTTGTTATAAATGACAATGACATGTATATGAATATAGGCAATATAATTTATAGAAAAGAAAACAAGTGCATGTCAGACTATTTGTTGAATTTAGATTTTTCTAAGAGGTTTAGCATTATCAGACACTCAGATTTTAGTAATAAATCTCATGAATAAAAGACCAAAACTTTTTATTTATTAGAATTAATTCTCTTACCATTATATTTAATACCTTGTTGAAGCGAATTTTTATCCATTTTTTGACAACGACTGTTAGTAATATTTTGATGTTCATCATCATTATTATTATCAGTCTCGTCAACATTTTCTTCAATCGTTGGTAGAGCTAAAATTATAGATGTTCCCGTCGTTTCTCTACTGGTACTAGTACGATCCATCAAAGACTGATTATACATGCTGTTTAAGCACACAAATGAAAAAAGGGAAGAGTTTTTTTATTATACATCTATAAATTAAGTGTCAAGTATCAAACATTTAAATGGAAGAAGGGGAGCAATAATGTATCGATATAAGGGCAAATTCCATAGAGGGACAACTGTGGGCGACACAAAAAAAAGGTGTAAGTTTACTAAAGCACACATTTACAGACATTGCATAAACAGCTTCTACCTGACAGGATAAGATTGTCATCATCGTCGTTGTCACTATCAATACTGAAACTGTTTTCAATTAGCTCATGATTATATTCAGCAAATTCTTTGACACTTTTCGAATTATCATCGTTATGTCCAAAAACAAAAACACTTAATTGAGCAGGAATATGTCCATGATTGATATTTGTTGTTGATGAATGCATATTTTGTTTTCTCTATTTAAACATCATTAATCATTTGTAAATACTATACAAAATTAATTACTAAAATTAATAAATACATTCAAGAAAGTGTATTTTTCTTACATAAAGACGAACTAAAAAAAAAAAAAAGAACAGAAAACAATAAAATGACATCGAGAAATCTTAGTTTTGCTTGTGTTCTATTAATGACTTAATGTTAGATGTGGAACGCAGACGACAATATTTTTTTAAATAAAACGAATAGCAGAGAATATGTTGCCAATGAGAAAAAGCATAACAACAAAAAAAGAAGAAGAAGAAAAGGATCACGACAATGATGGTAATTAGCAGACAGACAAAAAAAAAGGGAAAATAAAACGATGAAGACAAAACTGCTACAAGCTACAAAAATAACTTGTCGAAATAAAATGTATGAGTACTGAATTAACACGCATGTCTCTCGAGAATAAATCATACAAGCGTATCTATTCACGGCTTTTTTTTGTAGTTTGACACTCAATAAACTTACAACAATAAACTTGTAAGATAATACTTGATGTCGTTCTTTTTATTTTTATATTAATTAGTTATTATTTTGTGAATCTAAATATTATTTATTAATTTAAGAACTTTGAATAACTAACTTTGAATAACTATTAGTAAGAAATGAAGAAAAAAAAAGAATGTAATTTCCTGTTCATTTTTTCTCTTGAGTTTTATATTTAGACAGGATAAAGGAAAGAAAAACGACGATATTCTACTATTTTAGACGTGCACATCAATCCATTGCAATTTTAAATAAGAAGATTAGTTATATTAAATGAACTTTTGTTTTCTTTATTTTTAAAACATCATAATAGATATTTCTTTTCTTTTATTAAATTAATTTGTATTCTTTTTCTTTTCTTTTCAATACAAATACAAATTTTCTTTTTTTTAAAAGTCTATTAAACGTTTACGAGGATGATAAATGTATGATAATAATGGTTGGTCTGCATCATCCATATTTGATGTTATATGTTGATTGTCATTATTTAATAAGTGATGAGATTGTAAAAGTTTAAAGCCATGCCCATAATCAACAATCGGATGATATGACGATGCTGATGGATGACCATAGATATGTCCACTTGATATAACTAAAAGTACGACGAGCGTAACTGTAAAGACAGTCATGATGCGTATATATTGATAAAGGTGGAATTTTTTGCGAAATAAAAAAAATGACTATGTGTTTGGAGTTTTTATAAGCGTTTATTAACGGCTTTCTGATTTACTAGGATATTTAAGTATGATTAAATATATCGCATTACGTATAAATTTAATTAGCATTTGTTTAGCCAATTTACTTATTTCTTTTTGTTATTTCCAAATTTCTTTTTGTTTAAGTGTTTCTTGAATAGTAAAAACTAAAAATATCTTTCCTTTTTGCTTTTAAATAAAATTTTTATCAATTGAAACTTAAAAAATATTCTTATTCAAATAACAGTACAAGATAAATTACATTCATAACACGCAAAAATACAACTAATCATTCTCAACTTACACAGACATACCCAAATGATTTTTGACAAAGAATAAATAAATTAAACTAACAACGTGTTTACCGAGCGTAGGTTCATCTTTATATTTCATGCATGCCGCATAACGTATACTAATTGGTACGCATGACTAAAACAGATGCATTTTCTACAGAAGTGCTACAATTAGTTAGATTCTTTTTTTTTCTTTTAAATGTACTGATGCCCGTTGTTCTCCGAAACATTTCTGTTTCTAAGGCCTGCTTATTTTTGCAATTCTAAACTATTAAAAAATTGATTCTATTCAAGCATGAATAATCATTTACAAATTGAATTGCAAAAAAAAATAATAAATAATTCTCTAATTTAAATAGTAAATTAATAAGACACATCATTTTAAGATACATATATTTTATTTTTGATTGATAAACAAAAGTAAGCGCCGCTTGATTTCTACGAGCATATAAAATAATTCACAAAATGGAACGTAAGATAAGAAGAAAAAACAAAAATAAGAGGACAAAAAAAATCGAAATCTGACATATTAAACATAATCACGCGGTGGATAACGATGTTGTTTTTGTTCGGAATATGGACTTATTGTTGTCGTATACACTCGCTACAACAAACAACAACAAAAAAAAAACATATATATATAAATTTTTATTTTATATTTCAATTGATTCAGAAAAAATATGAATATATTACATTATTATTATTATTATTATTTGTACGACGGTTGTCTTCAGTTTGATATCGTATCATTTCTTCGGCATTATTATTCATCATATTATTTCTTATCATATTAATATGATCATCTGTTTTAACTATAGCTCTTAAATTAAGAAAACTTGGTGGTAATGGTCCACATATTGTTGAAAAACAATTCACACATGGATTCCCTTTGGAATAAGGATTTTTCATAGTCACACCAGGACGAGATATATTCCATGTATTTTTAATCTTTTAACCAAAAAATAAAAAATAAAACAAATACAAAATTTTGTTGATTTAACACTTACATCCTCATTTGTTGTTACACTACGACAAATTAAATATGTATGATATCCCCAAAGACCAACAATTGACCAAATTGAAAAGAAACAAATTATTGCTTCAACTACTGTTGCCGGTGTATCTCGAATTGCATCAATAAATGATGGTTTATCTTGAGCTCCTATTTACAAAAAAAACATAAAAAACACAGAATCTATCAGGTCCGATTTTTTTCCGAATCGCCGCCTATGTCAAATCGTATTTTGATACTCTTAACAAAATGTTCTAATCGATATTGGATAGGCATCCAACAGATACGCGATACTTTTCTTCCGGTTTCTTGCATTCGATGATTATCGCATGCTAAAAATTTCTCAGATGACTAGAGCCCATCAAGTTCAAAATTTTCGAACTCGGACCCGATAAGCTATGTTCTAATGATCTTCATATCCAAGATTAGTCTCATAGTATATAACATTGTTTTTTTTTTGTCGATTTACTAATTAATAAAGTATTTAGGAAATTTATTTCTTCTTGTTCTTTGAAGCGAATAATAAATCTTTTGACTATAATATGCAGACCTAGGAATTTCTTTGTAGTTTCATTAATAAGTAAAAAACATTCTTTACATTTTTGCATCTTTAAAAGAGATAAAAAAAAACCATTAATGATTTTCTGTTGAAAGCAGCGTGATAGCATATATAAGAAATACAAAATAAGTTGAAGTACAATGGAATATAGAGAATCATGAATGTGAAAATGTGTTAAATATTCTTTGGTTTCCGCCCTCGATGTCTTTTAGATGATGGAAGTATATCGTGAGTTAATTGGAACTTTATGAAGATGTTTTTACTCATATTTTAAAAGCATGCAAAGATCTATTTTTAATAATAATATATTAATCTTTTTGTAATATATATGTCAAACTCTGTTTGATAAATATAAGTCCGATTAAGCATAAATCAATCAATAGAAGAAAAAAAATTCATTGCATATTATGAGAACATCAGACAATATCGAATAATTTAAATTATTCTTATGAATATTTTTCTATATGTTATGTTTAATTAACTAAACAATTCTAAATTGAGTCAACAGCTGAACATATCATAGAATCATTCATTTAAAATTAGTTTCATACGAAATTTTTTTCTCAGTAAATTGTAATCAAATCTAGCGATACAAATAATGACAATGTTAAGAATATAATTACAATTGCTATAATAATTGTATTCCACAAAAAATATTGATAATCAACAAAAGCTAATTGAATAGTTCATTTTTGATTACAGAAATAAATATTTTTCTTATTAAGCTTTTCAGTTTTAACATAGAATAAATGAAAATCATCAATAGAAGTTAGTTGATTCCTTAAGAATGTTTAAAATTTTTTATTTTTTGTTAAAAAAGAATATTGCAAGCAAGTTGAGTAGTGTGCATGTTAATCGATTTTTCTACTATTATTGTTGAAATTTGCATTGTAATCAACAAGAATATTCTTATTTCAAATAGTGTAAGACAAAAATCAAAGTCATTTATATATTTTCCATAGGAAAATTGATGTGAATCCTACTAGTTAATATTCTAATAATGCTTCTACTTTCAATATAAAACTATATCTAATCGATAAATACCTGATATTTGATAGAATACATTGTTCTAAAATGTTTTCACAATCGAATAGATGAGATAAAAGCTCATGAAATTTATTTATTCTTATTCAATTTTTTCTGGACTATATTAACAACAATTTGATTGTGTTTTCAAATGTAAACATCCTAAATTTGAATAAATTGAAATATACTATTGCATACAAAAGATATAATCTAAGGTATTCTTCTAGAATTACTCAATCAATTTTCTTTATTGATTATAGACAAAATATAAAATGAAAATCTATTCCAAAGATAAAAATTTTCAATTTTCATACTATCAAACAAAAGACATATTTTCATATAATCTTTCGAAAAAAAAAAACAAAAGAAACAAATCCTTGAGACATTGTCATAACAAATAATAATTAATCTTTTCAATACTTACGTAAAACAACATTTGTTATATTGAAAGCAAATACATATATGCAAAAAATTGATAACGAAAATAAGAATAAATAAAAATATCTATAATTTCGAAGGCCAACACAATTTCCAACCCATGGACTATTATAACAAAACGAAACAAAAGTTGTTATTTCAAATAAATAAAACATACCAATGATGATCGAAGTTTGCTAAAAGAAAAAACAAAGCGCATTTTTTTTTTAAATTTTTCTTAATAAAAAAAAAAAACTTATGTATCAAAAACTATTCATTTTATTATTCTTGTTGATATCAAATATTCAAATAAATTATTCATGTTCTCTTACTCAATCTTATTGTTTATTAAATATAAATCGAACGAATCAGGTACATTCTTCACATCTACTTAAGAAAAATCCAGCATAAGAATATTAAACATAGTCAAGGATAAATGAAATTCAATTTTCTGCTTCAAATCTTTTTTTCATATGTTTAGACTAAAGCAATTGATGAATGTCATAAGATAAATAATCATTTCGAACTTCTATCATTAACAAATTTAACAAGATTTTATTTAATTTTTTCTTTATTAAATAATCATACATATCAACAAATATGGATTGATTATAATAGAACATCTTTAAAAAATTTTCATCAATGTCCACAATTTAATTCGAATGAAAAACAATGTTGGACATTATTATATAATAGGTTAGAAAAACAATTCTGTTTAGTGCAAAATAATTGTCAAGAAGAATATAATGTTTTATGTCAAAATAAATTAGTTATTCATAAATCAAAAAAAAACAATTCTCTTTTATTTATTAGTCTTTCTATAATAATCATTATTATTCTATGTATTTTAATTATTTATTATCATAAATATAGACAAATGGAAAAACGACGAAAACAATTAATTCGAAATTGTTTTCTTTCTATGCATGATTTAGATTCATATTAAAAAATAACTTACCAATACATGCATCACATAATGAACAATGAGATACACGCGGTGGTCGAAAGATTTTACATGTTGAACAAAACTTTAATTGAATCACATGTCCACTTTGCATTTGAACTTCGATTGTTCGACCTGGTAATGCAACATTATGTGGACTATTTGAGATATCTGCTGTGTAGACGAAATAAATAAATAGTTATTTTGTTTTTTTTTGTTAGAATCAAAAAAAGGTTTCTAACTTGATCGTTCAAGATAGAGAACTTCGTCCGAAGTTCCTCGTGGAAGTATACCAGGGTCTGAGCAAGCCGTACGAAAAATAAAACAAATAACACATAAAAATAAAATAGCAGCAAAAACTGGTACAGCTGGACTTAGTCGTTTGGTTAGATAGGGACAACTAAAATAAATAAAGAAATGTTTTATGTAAATATTCCTACGTTGAAAAAACTCTAAGTAAGATCTCTTAAAAAGAAATCGAAAATTTCTTGTTTTTTTTTTTTTTCGTTTATTCTTACTCGAATGCAAAGAATAGTCCCGATGTAACAATAATCAAAACAAGAGCAAGAATGAATACTCCAAGACTATGTCCAGTTATACAGCGTCCATCGCAATAAAAACGATTTTTGCTTTCAAGAATCTATTCAATTAAACAAAAATAGTTATAACAAAAACAAAACAAAACAAAAAAACACAAACCTCCCACTTTCTAACCATAATATATCATAACAGATACAAACTCATCATAGTCGACAAAGAAAACAATAATCCCTACACTGATGGATGTTAAATAATTCTCGATAACGACGAAAAAAAGAAGACGATATATAAGCCAAGATCAAATAGAAAACGTGATCAAAAAATGTTGAATATTATGAATGACGCTACTATCAATAGAAATTCATCTCGGCAAGTAGCGTTTATTTATAACGACCTCTTCTCGCATATCCATGATTAGTTGTTCATTTACAACAGGAAGAACAACTACTAAGTGCTTGCTTGTCATTTCACACAATTTTGAACAAAATGTCATCAAAAATGACGACTAATTCAACTTCTTTTATTACGCCGACTATAGACAATTGCGTATTAGATTATACAGAAATAGATCAAGGTCTTAATTTGTGGTCAGAAATACTTCCATTGATTGAAAAACAAATTGTGACACTAACAACTGTTGCTCAAGAAATGCAAGAATGTCCTGGTAATTTAATTAAATCATTTATAATTTTTATATCTGTGTTTTTTGTTTTGTTTCCTTTCAAAGAACGTCAAAAATATATTGATGCACTTATGAAAATTGCTGTAAGAGTTAATGATGTTGAAGAAAAATCAACTACATGTATTAAGGAAGCTCGAACACAATTGAAAAAGGTTTTAAAAAAATTTCTTTCATAGATATTAATAATATAATGAAAAAAATGAAGACGTCTATTATTTATATAAGGTTATAGTTATATTATGATGAATAAATAACAAAATATTAATAATCAGATTTTTACAAATTGATAGACGATATGAATTTAATCTTGGTATTTAATATTACTAAGCAACTTATTATTTCACTACCGGAATATTATTTTGTTACTTATTGCTTGAGGAGTCTTCCAATTATGATAAGATTAAGAGATAGTAAGATAAAAGTTTGGTGGGGAAGATAAGGGTAGAGATTCTATAAGGCAGGGTAAGCGTATGAAACAAGCTTACCCTATACATCTCTAATGTGAATCAATGTTTCTTGCTTTGTTCTATTTAATCTTCTTTTTACGATTGAAAATGTTTTATTTAACTAGTCTGTTTGCTCATTCATATTTTTCACTTCATTACATGACTGTGTTCTATTTCATCATTAGATCATAGATTCTGTTAGAGGTGTAAGCCGATGCAATAATTGCCGGTGGCGAATGAAGTGTTTGATGTTTCTTGAAATAAAAAAAAAAATGATGGTAGAGAACGTGATAATAAGAAAATTAGACAAGATTACATCGGAAAACTTATTCTGAATGTCGAAAATTTAAAAAAATCTACGATCTATTTGTATGCCGTGGCGACAGTAACTCAACCGATTGATTGACACATCTAGATCTTCGGAATTAAAATATATCCAATCTTGTTTTGTTTTTCTCTTGTTTAGACAAAACTTATTGATAAAAATAATGATACACAAGAAAAAGTTCGTCATGAAAAAGTTCATAATAATCGAAATGATGAAAATTCTGATAAAGATGACGAAAGTGATAATGAAATGGAAATTGATGAATCACAAATAAATGAACAAATTGAAGTTTCAGTATTAAATACCGAAAAGTTAGAAAAATTACAAAATCATTTACATAAAATTCTAATTAAACAACCGAATTCAAATGAATCTAATATTGATGGTGACAATCGTTATGCTGATTTTCTTGAATGTATTTCCAAAATGCAAGGTAATAAAAAAAAAAAAAACAGAAACCTATGATCTTTTCAAATATATTTTATACATCATTTAGATAATGATGATGGTGATGATAATGATGCAAATGTTGTTGATCAAGTTACCTCCAATAAATGTCCATTAACACAAAAACCATTTGTTGAGCCGGTACAAAACAAAAAATGTAAACATAAATATGAAAAAAAGACTGTACTTAAATATATTGCTGATAAAAATAAAGCAAAACGTCCAGCTAAATGTCCATCAGCTGGTTGTGATAATATTCTCAATGAAAAAGATCTTATCAATGCTTAGATTATATATTGTATAGATTTTGTTTTCTATTGAAATAAATAATAAGAAATAAAATTTAGATTTTTCTTTTCTTTGATTTTCTCATATATTGATATGTTAACATTCACGGATATTTCAGCCAATACACATACAAAATAGAATTTTTGGCAAAAGCCATACTTATAATATGAAATAAGAATTTCCTTTTTTTTTTTTCGTTCGAAAGAACTAGAAGTACAATAAAAAAAATACTGTGTTTACTCTTTCTTTTCTTCTCTCGCTATCGTTTCATGGTTTTTCTCTCACATATCTTTTGTTGACCTAAAACGACTAGTGCTAAAAAGCATAATAAAATACTTGACATGTACAACAAATGGTTAAAACAAACGCAAGATGAAGTAGACAGGTATTGAGGTAAAATAAATGTTTGTATTTTGTCGATCATAAAAATGCCTGGTTTTCTTGTTCATAAAGCTTAATCAACGGATTTCGGTGTGATTGGTATTAAAAAATTCTTCAAGGTTGGTTCAACTTCACGTGAAATAAATTCAAAAACCTTCAAAAGAATAATTATGAGTGAAAAATAAAGGAAAGAAAATAATCTTTACTTGTTCAGGTGCACGACCAATGAAGGTTTTAGCATCGAGAAGAACATCAAGTTTGTTGACAATAGGTGCAAAATATGGTTCATTTTTAACACGTTCAACAAGATCATTATCTAAACCATCAAGTTTAACACGTTCAGCTGCTTTTTGAGATAAACTACGAATTTTTTCATGACATTCTTGTCGATTGCCACCAGCAGAAACCTAAATAAACTAAATATACTCATGATCAAATTTGAATATAATTACCATAGCCATGATAATATTTTCAGTAGCCATAAATGGTAATTCTTGTTTAATATGCTTGTCAATAACCTAATTAAAATAAAAAGGAAATGGTAAAATAATAAACTTTTCTTTTTGTTACTTTTGGATAAACAACAAGGCCTTCCGAAATATTTAGTAATGTAAATAAAATAATATCAGCAGTTAGAAAAGCTTCAGGAATGCAAATACGTCTAAATAATACGAAATAAATCTCAATAAATATTTCGTTTACTTTTTTGTTTTTTCGTACTTATTAGCACTATCATCTAATGTTCGTTCCATCCATTGAACAGAATGTGTCCCAAGTGGATCATTAATTAATGTCATCAAATGTCGTGCAAGTGAACAACACCGTTCACATCTCATTGGATTACGTTTATAAGGCATCGCATTAGACCCTAATGAAATAAAAGCAACAAAAAGGAAAAGACATAATTTTATTTTCTAAAAAATTTGTCAATTTATACCAATTAGTTCGATTTCAAACGGTTCTTCAATTTCTTTTAAACTAGCTAATAAACGAATATCAGTACACATCTAAATATTAATTCAATCGATTTCTAGATAAATAACAACAAAAAATATCGATTAAAAGCAAAACCTTATGAATTGAACCACCAAAACTGGCAAGTACACTGACTACTTCAACATCAAGTTTACGTGTATAAGTCTGACCACAAATAATAAATGCTCTAAAATAAATAGAATATATTTGTCAACAAAATCGACTTATTTTAGATTTTCTTTTTTTTCAATTGTCATTAATTGTGACAATTATGAAACATTCCCTATTTTCGCTTAGCTTGTTTGCTTAGTCGCATCCGGAAAAGAAAATTTAACTACAATATCCTTTCTCATCGAATTAAGACAATATTTTCTCTACGCTTAATTACAAAAGAAGATTTAATCTTTATATTATAGACTCTACAAAAGTTGTTTCGTATAACATATTAATTCTACTAGTAAGTTTTAATTTTCTGCAGTGTTTCTTTTTATAGTTTGTAACTTATATTAATGCGAGAAGTTTTAATCTTCTTCGTTCATTTATTTTTAGTAAAATATCAAGGCGCAGCTCCATTGTTAGAAATAACGATTTTCGTCGAAAGCTTCGATTTTGACGCAATTGAATAATCGTCAATGTTTAATGCGATTTATGATGTTTTATCACGCTTTGTTGTCTAGATCGTTTTATTAAGAAAAAAGTTTGATTTTCTAGGCCAAATTTTCTTTTTTTTGCGTTTTTCTCAAAATAGATTTTTCTGTTTTTGTGTCAAAGACTCTCCGTTCGTTTTACATGCTTAAAAGATTGAGAAGATTTTAAAATGAAAAGAGAGTTGTGCTCTACAATTTAACACAATGTTAAGTCATAGGAACAGGTCTTGGCTGCATTTTAAAACCAACTTGAAACCTATATCATTATATTTCGAGGAGAAATTCTCATCATTCGAATACCTACTTTTTCATTCTTGATTTTATGATAGTTCATCAACAGTTCAATATTTTCGACCGAAATTTTTACTGTAAACTGTTAAAACTCAGACATACATTCTCTGAAATTTTCAGTCAGATCAATTGTTCTAATATATGGCCATGACTTTCTTATGCGACATGTTTGATATTCGTAGGAATCATGATAGAAAGTATCTTTCTGATACATTCAAAAAAAAAATGTTTACTTTGAAAAGCCAGCCATTTCTGTAACCATTCGATCAAGTTCTTCAACCTTATGTTATATATGAAAAAATGTATTTTTTTTAAAAAGTGTTTCTTTTTGAGTTTATTTACTTTAGAATGATCACCATTGAATAACTGAAGAAATGATGCTTGAGTGCCGGTAGTTCCCTTAACACCTCGAAATCTTAATTGTCTTTTCATACGATCGAAATTTTTTAAATCCATTAATAAATCTTGGATCCAGATACATGCTCTTTTACCAACAGTTGTTAATTGTGCTGGTCTGAAAAACAAGAAGATTTCATTTATTATTTATTTCTCTTTATAATAAAAGATAAACTCGATCAACGTGCATCTTTTTTTTTGTTTCATGACTTCGTTTGTTCGACATACGAAGAGCAAAAAAACTTCATAATGATAAATTCTAATTAAGAAAATTTCTGAATTTTTTTTACGCAATACATATTTTCACTCGAGAAAATGATAGACGACTTCCTATGTCGAAAGCTTCATTGTAAACAAACTTATTGACATAAGTCACGAGTCAACAAAACCCAAAGCAATTTACTTCCTTTTCCTATTCCAAGGATATTTGAGCAAATCTCAAGAGCAAAAATTACTTTGATCTTTGTCCTCCAGCTGTCATCAATTATTACGAACATTTCTTGTTTTTTTTTCTCTTAGCTTACAAAGAAATGAGGATAAGATTTTCGAAATCTTCATGCCTATAAAGTTCTAAAAAGAATTAATAATACATACTGCATATGTGTATAACCAAGTGTTGGTAAAGAAGCATATTCTTGTGCAAATTGAGTTAAACGTTGAATACATCGTACAAGCTAAGTAAAACAATTTACAATAAAAAAGAAATATATATATACATATTGATAATTATTTTATGTTTTACTTTAACGATAAGGATATCAAATGCATCTTTCATAACGATTAAATCCTATGTTAAAATAAAAAGATAAAAACAAATATATTCTAAGTAAAAACAAGTTCATACAGCATTATCACCAACAAAAGCTGATGTTGCACCGAGATGAATAATCGGTGAAGCTTTTGGACAACAACGTGAAAATGTATGAACATGTGCCATAACATCATGTCGTCGTCGACGTTCTTCTGCTTCAGCAACGTCAAAATCAATATTCGTTAAATTTCTTTCCATTTCACCTAATTGTTCATCTGTAATATCCAAACCAAGTTGCTAATATAAAAGAAAAAGAAAAAATCGTCTAAATCGATAAATATTTTTTCTTTTCAAGAACTATACTTTTTGACATTTCGCTAACCAAAACCAAAGACGTCGCCAAGTAGAAAATTTTTTAATCTCACTAAAGTTATAACTCATTTCAGCAGATGCATAGCGAGAATTTAATGGTGAGCGATATTTTTCACGATCTTCAGGAGATACAATGAATGATGATGATGATTGATCTTTCATACTAGGTCCATTTAATAGAATTGGATTACGACTTATTTTCGTTGGTTGGTGTTGGTATTCAGTAGATAACGATACTTGTGATGCATTAGTTGAATCGGATATAGTCGAACTTTTTTGGCTCCCATCTGTCGTTGTTGTTGAATCCGACATCTAAAAATAGACAAAATGTTCTAAGCTTCATAGAGTCAATATAGAATTAGTCCGAATAACTCTTTATTCTTCTAATGATATATTAAATAGAATAATGAATTAATCAATTAAAAAAATAAATAGATAATAAATATTATTCGGGTCATTGGTGGATGTTTGTTGTTTATATATCTGCACGATACTCGTTTACATACGAGAAAAGAACTTACAGAGAGAAGAAATATGGCGAGTTTTCTTTCAATCAACATGCATTTTCCCCATTGCACTTCTGCCCTGCCCCTGGTGTTGGAAGAAAAGAACAGAACGAACCTCATAATAAAATAAATAGCTATAGCAGAAGTCCAAGAGAATCGATGTTTTTTCTATTCTTTCATCGTTTTTTTTTATGCGTCCTCCGTTTCTGATGTAGTAGTATCAGAATCTATATAAACAGACGCTTTCGTGACGTCGCGAATGTTTGACAAGCACATAGACATATATGCTTGATTGCGTGCCTTGAATTTAACAATAAGTTAATTTATTTTTTTTTTGTTCTTAACCTTTCATTGCTAACCATTTTTTTCACTAAATTCATTCTCTTGTTTTTTTGTTTTTCATTCTGATTTCAAGTACTATCTACATGAAAAACATAAGAAACAGCAATGAATATGAAAAGAGTACTTAAATACGGTGCAAAAGAAAAACAAAAGAAATTTTAAAAAACGAACTTGTATTCTTTTCTTTTCTACAAATAGAAGAATAGTATGCTCATAATCATTGACAACAGCTGTCAACGGAAAAAAAAATGATAATAAAATATTATTTGCATAGGATATAAATTAGTATTTGTATAAAAAAAAGAAAAAGGAAAAAGAAAATTCTATGAAAATATGAAATTAATTTTATCAGGTGTTATTTATCAATTGTTGAGAGAGTAAATTGATAATTGATTGGTTATGATTAATATTCATAGGGGAATAAAATAAATTGTTAATTCTTTTTTTTTTTTAATAATTTATTCAATGAATATCAAAGCCTTTTGGTAATAAAAACAACTATGCTATTATAATTTGATATCTTTTTAATAGTGAAACATTCGTTTATGATGACCTTTACTTAAAATAGAAAGAACAAAAACAAATTTTGTATTTAAATAGAATAATACAAATAAATGCTAACATGATAGAACGAGTCATCTGTAATTATTATTGAATAACAATTATATTAGAAAAGGACAAGTAAACAGATGGTGCATAGAACATTCATAGAACATCAGACATTAGTTAGAATAATCAATGCTAGCACTCTTCGCTGTTTTCGAATATTTATCGAATGTTCGTCGTTTATTAAATCGATTTCATCCTTTTCACACTTCACCAACATGTTCAACAACAACATCACCAACAACAAAATCTGATGAAAAAGTTTCAACAGATGTTATTTCTATATCCAATGAACAACAACGTGATATTCTTCTTGGACCTATTGTTAATAATATTCTATCAGATAATCGTTTAAATTATTTTGATGAAAAATTTCGTGAAGATCTTCAAAGTGATGATTATTTTGCACGTGAACTTGATGCATGTTTACTTGAAATGCGTGAAATTGAACGTGATTTATTAAATTTAAAACAACGACAATGTTGTTTTTATGAACAATATTTAGATTTTATCGATAAAAAAAATGAACTTATTGATCAATTTATTGAATATCATGATGAATATATATTAAATAATTCCGATCAACTTTCATCTTCAACATCGAAACATTTACGACGACAATCAATTCAATATGAATTTAATATACCTGTATCAAATCGTTTTGATTTATTAAGATTACAACATTCGAAAAATTTCGAATAAATTAAAAATAAGAAACACAAACAATTATTCACTTTTATCTATTGTATAATTTTGTTATGGGTAAAAATCAATTTCAACATTCTGAGTACTATATAATAACTTACTGAATACGTTGTTTTTATATCTAAAAATAAATAATATAAAAACAAGTCTGAGTTTTTTTTGAGTATTACATTTCAATTATCGAATAACATTTCCGGCAAGTATTTGAACAATAAATTTTTTTTATATAGTACTTATAATATAATTTAAATAATTAACTACTGGATTGAACTGAACTGTTATACATGAAATTGACAATGTCTCCATTTTTCTTTAAAATAAATAATTAATTTTTTACAAACAATCGAACCTAAGACAAAAACCAATATGTTTCTCTATATCTTCTTTTTCTCTTATTCTGCACGTCTAATTGTACATGAAGTTATGGTACCGAAAATGTCACGCTCGATTTTATTATAAATTATGATTAGAAAAAAACTCCCTGTTGAGATGTAAAAGACTTTTAACTTCATCAGGAAACAGGATGTAGTATTACTGAGCGGAATAAAACTCTAATGAGTTTCATACCTTACAATTTAATTACCTATCGTTTAATTATCTATATTAATAGGGACACGAACTTCGTATTTTATGAACTCAATATTTTATTTTCTGCTATTTGATTAGTATTACGATTAATTTATGATTATGATAATTTAAAATAGAAAAGTCAGAAACAAATGATTTATTAGCAGGAAATCAATCGTTACACATAAATAATTAAAAAGAAAAAAAAATAAGATCAGATTAAGTATCATACTAAATATGATTGATAAAACATCATTTTTTTTTTTTTTACTAGGATAACTTTTTTGAACAAACATCAACCGGTTTATAACATGACTCATATATCTATCAGTATAGACTATAACGTATCTGTGTATCGTCATAACTGGACATGTGATTTTCTTTCCCAAAAAATATTACAAATTAGGTTTGGTATACATTAAACGAATTAAAATTGGATTAAGCAATGTTATTTATGTTTCTATGTAGCAACACCAATCAAATCGCTTAATCAAAATTTAATCGATTTAAGTGTTCACAAGGTCTTTGATTGATCCTAAATATGTCTATCTATCTATTGGGATCGAACGCTTTTCATTTCTTATGAACAAATCTGAAATATATACGCAGATGGCGTTGCTTTACATATTAGTTTTTGTTTTACAGACCAATAGAAACCTGTAAGGGATTCATGTCTAATATTTGAACCTTGACAGAGAAAAAAGTTGTAGCAGACGACAGAGATCCTCTAGTAATGTTTCTGTAGAGAAGCTCAAATCACTTTTTAAGCGGAATTCAACAGTCAGTAGTTGGAACTCGAAACCTTCTATGGAAAACTGTAGTCAGTTTTTCAAAATTTTAAGTTCGATTTTTTCGTGAAAAAATGATAGCTTTTCCACAAAAAATGTCGAACTCTAAATTTTGACAAGCTGATTACAGATTTGGATTTCTCACCCCCGATGACCTTTTGTCAAACACAGAAATACTGATTATCCAATCAACTTTCGACTGAACTGGTGCATCCCTATGGGAAGCTGACGAGAAACACTATTTCAAGTGTCAAATCGCTTTTCGACCGAGACGATGTGCATTTGATGAATACTAAAAAAGTCTAGAATGATTTGGTTTCTTGGATCCTTATTCTCGAGACATCAAAATTTTACTGGATTAGCTTTCGTTTCCCTTAGGTCACCTGGAAAAATGGACCATCAACTTTGAACTTTGCACGAACAAAGTTCTTAATGAGACTAGTTAATTGTGCTAGTTACAACGCTCCTAGTATCTCCTATCCTGAGACATTTAATATTCGAAATTCTCTCATATGTCAAAGCAAATTTTATTCATATACTTACATCTTTAGATAAGAAATATTAGAAATATTTTCAATGATTTAATCTCATTAAAAGCTTCTTTTATGCAAAGTTTGAAGTTGAAAGTTGATTTTTCAGATTATTTAAGAAGAACCGCAAATTTTTGTTGAAAAACTCAGTAAAATTTCGATGATCGAAAATCAAACCATTCTAGACTTTTCTATTACTTATCAAATAAACATCGTCTCGGTTGACAAGCGATTTGACGCTTGAAGAGGTTCTGTCCTTCTCTAGGTGTGCCACTGTAGCTTCAATATTTTTAAGTGCATAATTTAGATTAAAAGAACGATAAATTAATTTTCATGTTAACGAGAAAAGGTTGTTACTTCAACAGAAGTTTTCTAGTGAACTAAACAAAAGAAGATATTCTCTTCCTCCAATTCTTATTTTTTTGTTTTCGATGAGTACCTATACAAAAAATATTGAAATATAAACAAATCACATAACAGTGATAACAATTTTATTTTGATAACAAATACAGTGCAAGTTGTTCTGTATCATTAATAGTTTTAGTAGTATCTTCATTGATAAATTCTGTTAGTGATCGGTGCTTTTTCTTTTTCTTCTTAGGTTCAACAGGTGATAAGCTTCGTTTTCTAAAACAAATAAAAAATATTGAAATTGTTTATTTTTTATTTAAGTGTTACGAACCTTTCTAATCTTTCTTGTTCGTTAGTTCCATTGGAAGGAGATTCTTCATCATTTCCATTAATTTCTTCTTCCTCTTTTTGTTCTTGTTCTTCTTCCTCTTCTTCTTCTCCTTTTTGTTTTAAACGTTTAGCTTCTCGAGCCGCTCGACGACCTTCTTTCTCCTTCATACGACGTTCCTTTCAAAGAAGAATATTAATTAATTCTAATTTCTTTAGATTAAGCATATAAATATAAACCTGATGTTTTTGTTTAACTAATGCACGATAAACTTCTTTATCTGCTTTATCGATTTGTTGAAGACGGGTTTTAGCTTGTTCAATATTATATATTGATGATTGATCTTCTTCATCAGAATTAATAATTGGCTAATTTATGACAACAATACATAGATTATTGAATTTAATGTCAGATTATGATAATAATAAAACTTACATTGCCTTCATCATCGTATTCAAAACGTTTATTAATAAGAAGACTTTTCTTGCGTAATTTTTTAGCTAATTTAGCTTTTGTTAATTTCTTTTCTTTTTCTGTTGGTTCAGGTAAATTAACAGTTTCTTGTTCAAGTATATCAGACACTTTTTTG